CCCCCCCCCCCCCCCCCCCCCCCCCCCCCCCATATGACAAGGTGAGCAATATGCGCTGCCCAGCGGGTTCTGAATAAAACATTCGTAATTTGTTTTTCTAACATTTCAAATAGTAAGAATTACTGAAAATTTAGAACAAAAATATCGGACAGTCAGTGCAGGTATCCCATGTTAGTGATATTACTGAAATACTCCGAATTAACTATACCCAGTCGTTCGGTCCTAAGCAGCACGATTTCTAAAGTGGCACACAGTGGTGCCTGTTAGTACTAACAAAAAAACACTGAGGCGAAATGGGAAAATTAGTAAAATTGACTAAGAAGCAATTGCCCGGAACCTGGGAGTGCATTCCATTTTGTCACAGACTTGTTAAAGCCAATCTGTCTCATGGTTTCACTAAGTACAGCAATTTAGGTTGAGTTACATCTCGCGCGCAACACTTAATGATGCCGTATGATCGATGGGATGCCTCATCTTGGTCTATTGGTAACAGTGCTCGGGACGAGGTGATAATGCTCAGCAGACATCAACGAAGTCTAGAGATAGCTAAAATTCTCCAAAATCTTCCTCTGCGCAGAACCGCTGGATTAATAACTCCTCCAATAAAAGCAATTATCAAAATTGCAGCAGGCTAACCACCAAATGATGCAGCACTGGTTAAAGCAACTGGAAAAACTATTGATTGCTTAACTGGAGAATCAGACTATGAATCAGAAGCTGTGTTCCGAGTATTTCAAGTACTTAATTATGTACAAAGCAGAGTATCATCAACAGTTGTTCATTTTTGTTTTTTCATCAAAAAACAGAATCGGTTTTCAGGAAGCAGTAGTAGTAGCAGCAGCAGGAATGGTGGAAGTTGTGTTGAAGGCTACTGCCTTCAGCAGACCATTCTTACATTTATTCGCCAAATACTCATCAGCATTAATACCGAAATAATTCGTATGATCCAGTGCATTGGTTGCCAAAGCGAGATTACGGCACGCATGGTCTTCTGATAATTTACACGTCTAAAAAAACATGTCAAACCCGTTGTGTTCAAATTCAAGGGTATCACAGTGACATTCCACAACTAAAAAAAAGTAATGATTGGCCAGAATTTACTAAAACCGGCACTCTTCACGTTTACGCCTAATCGATCTATGGCTCAACAAGCACTTACTGTTCTCGTTTCTTAAATTCTGTAAAACCCTGTCATAGGCGAGTTCAGGGAATGGGCGAAGGGTACAGATACCAGCGCCGCAATAGCCCGGGTATGTTCATAAATAAAACTAAAGCAACTCTAAGTAGCAGTGTTATAACTCTATTCCTAGTTGTTGCATAGTTTCTGGCTGGGAGGGAGCTCTCCTTCCATCTCCCTCCCCCACCGCCCGAGCACTCCGTTCCCCCTTTCCCTCTCGAGGAATCCGTCCTAGATCCTCCTATGACCCCTGTCTACTAGTAGACTTATCACTGGGTGGCACATTGGCACTGAAGGACAACTATTAAAATGGTTGAGGTAAGTCTCCTATAACTTTCATTCAATTCAATTTTAGCCATACAATAGTTACATAAAACTCTCTTTCTGTTGCATTAATTGCACAAAACGCATATTGTTTTAATTTTATTTTCTTTCTCCCTTTTTTTCTTCTACACTTCTTAAGATACCATAACCATCGCGCTAGGAGCACAGTTGCAGCACTGAATTGGAATGTATGCTACTTGATGGATCGAGACAAAACCCCACAAAAATTGGTTTGATTTGGAGCATGTCTCGTAAATTGCAGCGATTGGGTCCCTGGAGAAACTCAGTCTCTCACAAGAGCGCATATTAACCTCCAAGCACAGCGTTTCTAGCTTACCGCGAATGAATCGCCCGGTTTCATATCGTTATCGTAGTGCACCAAATAACGATAGAAATGTGGTTGTCGCTCCGCAATCGCACGTGTTACGAGGATTCCATTTGGATCCATCGCTGCTGGCACATTTGTCATCTAAAATTTGGTGTTTGCTTTCATTGATTTATCACGTGGAAGAGACGGCGGTAAATTCATATGTACAGGAAGAAAAAAAAATCTGAAAATCGAGTTGAAAAAGGGAAA